TTCTTCACGAAGTCAGGTACTGACCCTGCATGGCCGGAGAGCCCCACTACTCCCCTCCCCCAATTTAAAAGGCTTGGTATTTAAAAAATCTCACAGAGGATACAGGTTTGCAACATTAAGCACCTCAGAATTAGTTGATTTTATATTTACCCCTTGAAATCATTTACTATAAACAACATGGTCACAAAACAGTTCTCAGACCTTTGAAGAAGTCAGGTACTGACCCTGCATGGCCGGAGAGCCCCACTACTCCCCTCCCCCAATTTAAAAGGCTTGGTATTTAAAAAATCTCACAGAGGATACAGGTTTGCAACATTAAGCACCTCAGAATTAGTTGATTTTATATTTACCCCTTGAAATCATTTACTATAAACAACATGGTCACAAAACAGTTCTCAGACCTTTGAAAGTCACTGGAAAGTTATTTAATAAAAATACAACTGCTTTCAGTGTAGAAAATTAAAAGGCCATTTCATTACAAAGCCTACTGTGGATTTATTACACTACCATTTTTAAAACATTATTTTTACCTTAAAAAGGAACAAAAAAAATCTTGTGACACTAATTGGTATTTTATATAACGTTCCCCACAAGAGGGAGTGAAGGTGCACTCTGAACTGGGAGTGGGTTTGTTTCAATTGACACAGAAGATCAAGCATTACAAACCTCACAAACTGGTATGAATGAAACAACTCGGACATAATTGGACACCGTCCCACACTACAGGCCCGTTCTGAGTGTGTGACGATGGGCGCCCATGTTGAAAGGGGGACTGAAGCCCCTTAGAATATTTTGCCTTTTAATTCTATGAAAGTGTTAAACTATTTACAACCAGGGCCTAGGTTAAGTAGAGAAATAGGAATCTTCTTGCTCCTCTTCATCAGACGGCGCTGCTGCATCACCTGCGAACAGCTTCCCTATGACAGGGTTGTTTGCTGCACCTGCAACAGAGGAAGGACAGGAGTGGTGGGAAACGCTCTTCTGGAAGTCCGAGTGCGCAAGTGCAAGCAGGAAGTGCCCCGAGGAGGCAAAGCAGCAGGGATAACGCTCACCTTGGTCAAAGGCAAATGCAGTTCGTCTGCAGGTTGGAGTGGTAAACACGGTTCCAGCCTGATTTAAACAACAGAAGAAAATGTTTGTCACTGTCACAGCCCCTACCGTCCTGCTGTTACCTGTGTGGGGCCCCAGTCGGTCGCTGCCTCACGGACATCCACCAGGTGACACAGCTGGGGGAGGCCTGCCTGGTGAATCCCAGCAGGGCCGAGGTGCCAGGGGTCAGGAAGCACTCGGGTTTGCACTGGGTGCCCAGGAAGTTAGTGCCTATGGGGTAAGGCAGCAGCTGCCATTGGCACGTCAGGCTAGATTCACAGAAGCCGGCACGGTGACCTTGAACATCGCCCCACGGAACTGGGCAGGAGCCTAGATCCTGGAGTCACACAGCCTGACTTCGGCACTCAGGCTCCCTACCTGAATGGGGGCTGCGCATCACACACCCAGCAGGCTCCTTGCTAAGCCAGGCCATGGGCGGTGCCAAGGGAGGGGTAGGGCTTAACCTCCAGGCTACAGGGAGGCACGTCCCTCCGAGCCTGGGCTCTCAGCCGCAAGTGCTCTGCTAGCTCCAGGCTGTTACAAAAGCAGCAGAAAGAACTGTCCATGCGCAGACGGTGCTGGGGGAGCCGGCTTTTAAGCTGACTCCCCCCAGCACTGGCTCTCCTGCCTGGCCCCCCTCCCCCCGCCAACTTCCCGTTGCCTCTGTAGGGGGAAGCGAGGGGGGGCAGACAAGCTGAAAGTCGGCTCCCCACACGTACTTGCTCTTTATCAGAGGCAGCAGCATTGGGGTGAGGGGATCAGGTGGATCCAGTGCTTGCGGGGAGCTGACTTTTAAACTAACTCTTCACGGGCACTGGAACTCCTCCTCCCTTGTCCCCCCCCTGCAGCAGCCGCTGTCTGTGGGGAGCCTGGGCCTACCACAGGCAGAGGCCTCAGCACAGCAGCCGCCTCTGTCCGTGGGGAGCAGAGACCTCAAGGAAGGGGCTGCTACCTCTATCAGAGGCAGCACATGGGGCTGCAGGCAGCCAGTCAGCAAGAGGAGCTGATCTGTGGACTGGCTCCGATCCACAGACAACAGTGCGGAGTGGCAGGAGCCCCACCCCTGGGGGCTATCGAATAGTCGTGTAACTGACAACAGTTGGTGCAGTTCTATGACAATTCACTTGCCTGGCGCAGACGTTGGGAGAACGTAAGCTCGCCAACGGGGGTCTGAGCCAATGAGGGCACTAGCCAGACGGGGCGTTAGGCGGCTCAGTAGGGCCTGACCAAACACATGGCCATGAAAAGGCATCACACTGTGAAATCTGGTCTTGTGCGCGCTTCCACCTACTCTGCATGGATGTCGGGGGAGAAGGGGAGTCCTGGCCCAAAACCGAGCTGCAGGGGCATCAAAAGGTTATTTAGAAGGGTCATGGCACTGCCACCCTTCCTCTGCGCTGCCAGAGCGGTGACCGGTAGCTGGGCACCCCCCTCTAAAGGCGGCACCTGCACAGAAGTACGGCCTGGCACGGTGTCGCCACCCTAAGGCTACAGTTTAGTCGTGGACTGGTCATGGGCCATAAACAAGAATTCATAGCCTGCGACCTGCACACGACTTGTACCATGAAGCCCTGCCAAAAGCTTAGCCCCCCCCCCGACTGCCCTCTTCCACCGGCGCTGGGGGAAGCGGGTTGGAGGGGCTGACAGGCTCCCTACCTGACTCTGCACCCCCCCAGTCCTGATGACATTCTACTCCCTCAGTCCCTAGACAGCAGCACAGCAGGCTCCGCCCCAAGAATTGGCTCCACAGCTCCCATTGGCTGGAAATCTTAGCCAATGGGAGCTGTGGGTGCAGCACATGCAAGTAGATGCAGAATCAGAACTGGAAGGGACTTCAAATGGTCATTGAATCCAGTCCCCTGCCCCCATGGCAGGACCAAGCACCATATAAACCCGTGGTGTCCACACACTAGCCACTAGCCACATGTGCCTATTAGATCGGCTGAATGGGGCTAGTTCTCTGTAGCAATAGCCACTATAATGGCTACTGCTTCCGAACTGGCGGGACACCGTGGATCTACACCACCCCCGACAGGCGTCTGTCCAACCTGCTCTGCAATATCGTCCATGCTGGAGATCCCACAAACCCCTGAGCAATTTAGTCCAGTGTGTAACCACCCTGGCAGGCAGGAAGCTTTTCCTAATGTCCAACCTAAACCTCCCTTGCTGCAGGTTAAGCCCATTGCTTCTTGTCCTGTCCTCAGAGGCCAAGAGAACCATTTTCACCCTCCTCCTTGTAACAACCTTTTAGGTACTTGAAAAGGTGTGTCCCCCTCACAAGCCTCTCTTTTCCAGACTAAATAAACCCACTTTCATTTTTCCCTTCAAAGATCAGGTTCTCTAGACCTTTAATAATTGTAATTGTTGTTGCTCTTCTCTGGACTTTTACCAATTTGTCCACATCTTTCCTGAAACGTGGCACGCAGAACGGGACGCAGTACTCCGGTTAAGGCCTAAACAGTGCAGAGTAGAGTGGAAGAATTACTTACTACTTGTGTCCGGCTTACAACACTCCTGCTAATGCAGCCCAGATGTGTGGGGGTTTTTGGCACCAGTGTTACATGGTTGGCTCATTTTTAGCTTGTGACCCACTCTGACCTCTGGATGCCCTCCGGTAGGCTGCACACGCGGAGCAGACAGCACACGCGGGTGCCACTACTACGCATGCACAGCAACGTCCTTCCAGTTCCTTCTCTGCCCCAGAAGAAACCAGCTCTGTCCGAAGCAAGGAGGAAGAAGGGCGGGTGCTGGAGCACCCCCAGGGACAACCATCTTGAAGAACCTCTGCTACTGCACTAGGTGCATAACCCCCTCTCCTTCTCCGAGGAGTGTCCTGTGGGTGCTCCACCTTAGGTAACTGTAGAGCAGTAGCTGTGATCGGAGGCAGGTGCTTCAGCTAGTCAGTATCCTGCAGTGGCCAGGCCGAGTGCCCTGGGAGAGGTAAGTGTCGAGGGCGTAGTGTCTGCTGAACATATGAGCGGAGGACCGCGTAGCACATCTGCAGATGTCCATTCGAGGTACGTTACTCAGATAGGCTGTAGAAGCCACCAGGGCTCTCATAGGTGCGCGCGTAGTTGCAATGTAGGGTCTCGACCGAAGATGGAGGAGGTCAATTTGATGCAGTCCACTATCCACCTGGACTATCTGGGTGGAAAGTGGCCTGCCCAGGGATCTCTCCATAGTAGACACACAAATAGTTTAGGTGATTTGCGGATTTTCTTCGTCCTGGCCAGATAAAAAGCAATCGCCCTGTGTACATCGAGCGTGTGCCATGTAGTTTCTTTAGCGTCGGCATGCGTCTTTGGAAAGAAGACAGGTAGAATCACAGGTTCATTACAGTGAAATGAGCTAGTTACCAACCAATGTGCTGGATGAATGAATACACGAAAGTACACGTCCTGGAGTTTGAGAGTCGATAACCAGTCCCCTTCTCTTTAAGGCAGGGATTATAGTGGGTAGGATGACCATCTTGAATTACTGTGGTTGTACATGACGGTTGAGCTTCCTGAGATCGAGAATCAGTTTCCATCCCCCTGACTTCTTTGTTGTGAGGAAGTAATGAGAGTAAAACCCTGTAGTGGTGAGGTACGCATTCTATAGCCCCCACATGGAGCAAGTGGTCAGTCTCTTGGAGAACTGGGTCCCTGAAGGAGGGATGGGGGGGAAGGTGGGTAGAAGAAAAGGGGATACAATATCCTCCCTTTGTAATGTTGAGTACCCATTTGTCAGTTGTGGTGGAAGACAATTGATGGTAAAAGGGGACTAGACGCTTGTGAAATAGCTGATGGGGCTGAGGTTGCCTTAAGCAAAGAGCTGTTATCGGACTCTCGACCTGACCTTCAAAATGTTTGCCTCAAAGTTGAGGGCTGGGAGGTAGAAGGTTGGTCAGGGGCTTGCCTCCTCCTGTTGTCAAACGTCTCCGCGCCTGAGTAAAGGGCGAAGGCTTGTATTGTCGTGTAAAATACCGTCCCTATTTGCGTTTTGGTGTAGGGACATGGATACCAAGCGTCTTTTACATGGCCTGTGACTCTGAGGGAATGGAGCAACGCATGGGTGGTGTTCGCGAACAGCTTGGAGCCCTGGAAAGGAAGGTCTTCTATCATGGCCTATGCCTCACGGGAAAAACAGAGGTGAAGCCATGATGGCCTCCTCATCAAGACAGCCGTCACAATGGACCGGGATGTGGCGTCAGCGGCATCTAGGAATGTTTGCAAAGCTGTGCGAGAAATCAGGGTGCCCTCGTTTACGCTGACCTTGAACGGTTTGCAATCAGGAAGGCTATCAAAGTGTGACAGTTGCTTGAAAACATGAAGTGTATATTTTGTGAATACTGCGGTGTAATTAGCAATGAGCAGCTGTCAAGAAGAATATGCCTTCCTGCTCGTGAGGTCTAGATGCCTCCACTCCTTGTATAAGGAATGGTTCTGGCTGCACTCTGTTTTCCCCTCTGGTTGACTGTGTCCACAGCTGAAGAATTAGGGGACGGCTGGGAAAACAGGAAGTCAGCCTCCTGTGGTGCAGACCGATGGGACAGTGGCTGGCATCTGCCCGATCACCTTGGCAGGGTCCACTGGCTGGGATTGGAGGCAGCCATTAAGAAGGTTGCCATTCCAGCGGTGGCTGTTGCTGTAGCTATAGCTGCTTTGGAGAGGAGTGCCTTGGGGTGTGGGTACCGACCAAGGGCTTGTCGTCCTTGTCACTCGAAGCGGCGCTGCCAACCCTACAGGAGTGGAAAGCCTGAACCTGCCCAACGTGGATGTGACATCAGTGCTGAACAGCAGGGTCATGAGCAATGACGTTACCCTGAGCTCCTCCGTAGCAGTAAAAGGCTGTGGTGCGGGGTCGCTGGTGCAGGCAGCAGCACTGAGGGAGGTACGGCCACAATCTGCGGTGTCAGTGGTGCCACGTGGGAGGCCGGCGGTACCGCGGGTTTATGCCTCTCCGGTGCCAGAGACGGCAAAGTGCCAGCAGTGCTGAGTGAGGCTTGGATTTCTTCGGTGCTGATGGTGCCTCAGCAGATGCAGATTTGGCCTTTGCTTTCATCGGCACCAAGATGGGTTCAGATGCTGCCCCAGTGGCACCGATTTTGACTTAGGCTTGTCTGCAGCCTTAGTGCCCATCTTGAGGGCTTGGACCATTGGGAGCCGTTGGTGCCTGACAGTCCCAGTACAGGGAGTATCCTGGGGGCTTGCCCCCGTTTTTATGAGGGGAACTCACCTTCCTTGAAGAACAGGGTCTCTTCCTGGGTTGTTCTGAGGAAGAGCCCCTGGTATGGAGCCAGCAGAGAGGGCTGGCGAGGTGGCGTTGAGGGCTCCAGACCCGAGGCCGGCCTCACCGTGTTTTCAAGGGAGAGGAGTCTGAGCTGGAGTTTGCTTTGCACGTGTGGGCCGTTAGCGGTTTGCAATGCTGGCACTGGACTGTGGCTTGTGCTGCCCCAGGTACCGGACACACTGCGAACGCCTGTCGGAGATGGGAACGGAAAGCCTGCAGGGAGGCAGCGTTTGAATCCTGGGGACCCTGGCATCCCAGGGAGAAAGTCTTGCTAAGGCAAACGGCCTTAATAAGAAAAACGTTCTTCTTGTTTTGTTTTTTCAAACAGGAACTAGAAAAAGTGACGCTCTCTGAACACTATTACTAGCAGTTAAGAAATATTAGGAATTTGGACAGGAAAGCTGGAGCAGCTGCAGTTCTGACCGACGCCGGTGGCAGCAGAGGAGGAACTGAAGGGACGGTGGGATGAGCATGCATAGCAGAAGCACTGCGCATGCCGTCTGCTCCGCGTGTGCAGCCTACCAGAGGGCACTGCTACCAAAACATCTCCAACTAGGTGAGCAGCAGCGCCCCAGACACCTACGGTGGAACACCCACAGGGACGCTCCTCGAAGAACTACAGGGCTTGGGGGGCATCTGTGAACTCCCATGGGGCATGATTCTGGGGCTTAAGTGCCTAACGAGGCAGTTAGGTGCTGGGGCAGGCATCTAATAGAGTAGCAGATCACGTGTTCTGAGGAGCTACATTTTGGCCTTTACCACCGAAAGAGCTAGTTAGGTTCTTAGATCCCTTTGTGGATCTAACTCCTAGTGATTCTGCATTTAATCGCGACAGAGAATTGCCATTTTGTGGCTACAAGTTGTGTTCTCCAACATACAGTTTTAAAAACTAGGAACTTTTACTATAAGAAGATCTACAATCACAGCTTTGCAATTCTGGGATTTTTCTGATGCCATTCAGGCACAGGAAAAGCACACAGGGACATAAGAACGGCAGTACTGAGTCAGACCAATGATCCATCTAGCCTAGTATCTTGTCTGCCCACAGTGGCCAATACCAGATGCCCCAGAGGGAGGGAACACAACACATGATCCCTCCCCGTCACCCATTTCCAGACAAGACATACTCCATTACCAGTTTTCCATTTACATTACAGGGAAAAAATTCCTTACCGATTTTTTCTTGATGTTGCTCCAGACTCCCTTCTTGTCTTTCGAGTTCTTTTGCATTCTAAACACATACTTATCATAATCCCGCCTGCAAATACAAACAGTTCGGTCAGTATTACTGGTGTTTCTGGTGTGTAGATTCCTGTTGGTACAATTACAGCTATTATCAGGGCTTGACAAACCGCGGCGAGAGCTACCCGCCATCCCCGCACCGCGCATGTGCCAGACCAGCATTGCGCACAGCGCTGGTGAATGGGGCGCACTGAGCGACCAGCTGAAATCTACTCACCACAGGCAAGTAGAATCAGCGGTTTGTCGAGCCCTTGCAATTACAAATAAGTCACCCTTTAGGCAGAAAGGGAACTGAACCATTTTAAAGAAAAATTGAACAGATAATCATCAGCCTTGTTTTTAAAAGGCCAGCACTGCAGTTCTGTACATGAAGTTTGTGATAAACTTCATAACCACACAGTAGGCAGATTGTGCAGCAGCTCTCTGCAGGGAGACATCAGTCATAGTCGGCATCTGCCTATGAACATACAGTGCCTGTCCCTTCCCCTCCCAAGTTAGCGCTACCTCAGTTTAGTGTACACAAGTCTGCTTCTTCCTCAATCAGCCCCTGACACGAAGCCTTCTGTGTCAGCCACAGTAGTAGGAATCCTGCATCAGAATTTCTAGGAGCTACTGAGGTTTCTCAACCAGCTTTGGGCCGGCCTACACTATTACACCAGCCAACGTTTGTGATGTTGGTTAGGGATGACGACCTTTAAGACATTTTTATTCCAGCAAAAAGCCCCTCTTTAGACAGAGTAGATAGTTACACTGCCAAAAAACCCTGAATATATCATAAGGCCAGAACCGCAAGCTTCTCAACTGGCCACGTTTCATAACACAAGCCGTAGAATTCCCCTGCAATAAGTCCTGTGTGACCTGCAGCAAAGCACATTTTAAAAAATGTCAGATGGAGAATCCACCACAGCCTTGAGCAAGTGGTTCCTGTGGCTATTTACCCTCACTGTTAAACATGTACCTCTTTCTTCCAGTCTGAATTTGTTTAGCTTCAGCTTCCAGACTGTAGATCTTTTGCCAGGGTTAACTGTAGCACAGCTCTGCCAACTAACCTTTTCCTAGAATTCTCTGGGGAGTGGCAGGTGCTGTGCTGACATCTAAGCCTTAGCCGCAAGTTGTCATTACCTTAGGCTGCCACGTACATATAATGGAGAAAGGGGACACGAACAGTTGAACTCAAACCCAATACTTATTTTTACAAAAAACACAGACAACACACAAACTCCCCCAAACTCCACACGAGTGAAGCAAGAGGCACAAATACACTGGCAGTAGACCACTGACAAAACACTCCAAGGAAAATACACCGATGACACCAACCTGCCATGTATTTCGCTACCACCCTTTGCTTCACATTTTCTACATGTAAGATACTTTAAAAAAAAAATCCCATTTGGAATGAAGGATTCTGGTCTGGAAGTGCTAAAAAGGGAAGTGCTGTATTTGACCCTTAAATCATCCTAAAATGCTAAAATTCCTTCCCTCCTTTTTCTTTTTAACAAATTGTCTGAACACAACACTCATGGCTCCCCCCCTTGCACACATTCATTTTCAAGCTACTGAAAATAACAAGCTCACTTCTGAACCAAATTTCTTCAGAATTTGAAGTAATACCACTGCTAGCACCACGATCCTCCATCTCTCACTGTGAGCTCGAAATGGGGAATAAATCCATTCGTTTCTTAGATGTTCATTTTAAAATTCACGCCGCTCAAACTGCATGAACGCTTTTGTTAAATATCTCTGTCCAACCAAAAAAATCACAGGATGTACTATGCTGCAACCCAACCCTCCCCCACTTTGCTCCATCCTGCAGCTGCTCTCCCAGGTACCCTCCTGCTAGCTTTGCAGAGCAGAGGGAGAGAGGAGCGGATGCTAGGGTGTTCCCTTGCCCCTCCCTGTATCCCATCTCCGTGGAGGAGGAGGGAGCGCACACAGCCTGGCTCAGGAGAACGCTGAGCTGCTGCAGTCTGAACAGGGTGTTACTACCTGCTCTCTTAGGGAGGCCGTGTACTGTTTGAGATTTTCCCCAGCAGCCAGCTCAGTTTCTCCCTCCCACTCCCCGTGTACCCTTCTCCGCAGAGCAGGGGAGGGGAGACAACAGCACAGGAACACAGACGGAGAGCATTTACGGTCTCAAATCAACAGCGCATAGGGCTTCTCAGAATCTTACCCAGCAGCAGTCTCTGGGTCTCACAGACACAGTCTCTTTCACACTCCTCACCACATACTGGTAGTACTGGCACTTCCTGTAGCGTACATACATTCTCTATAATTTTAGTCTTTCAGTGTGTTATTTTAGTGTTTTAACTAGTCTGTGCATTTCATCATTTTTATTTCTCTTGTACTTACATTTATTTATTTGAGCAAGCAGTGAGTGTGAAAATGTCTAACATGTTCCAGCTGGAGTAATTATCCAAATTTATTGCACCTAACAACTTGTATGCTGCACTAGGGAGATGCATGTGGACCACACATACCGGCTCATGCCTCCCAGAGGCAGCAGGGGAAGGGCAGGCAGTAGCCAGTGCTCACAGGGAGCCAGCTTCAGGGAGCCAGCTTTTCCTCTATATCAAAGGCAGCAGTGTGGGGGGAGTTGGTGCTCGGGAAGCCAGCTCCCTAAAAGGTTGAAAAATTCAGCAGATACACGTTTACAAAAATTTTAACATCCCTATTTTGCACGATTGGGAAAACTTAGAGGAACACTGATCCGAACTCCAACAATTGCCCGTTACTGATGTTGCAGAGGAAGCCAAACAAAGCACAAAACCAAAGAGAGAAAGGTAGTCGTTCAGATACATTAAGATAAGTACAATAATACACAATAGGAACTAACTGGTATGTCCTTAAAGAATCTTCTAATTGCTGGGCTTTTATTTAAGATATAAGCACTTGGCTTTCACCTCTGACATTTCCCTGACCTCAGCTCTGCTGCATGGAGATAGTTTTGCTAAGTCTTGAACAAACATTCTACTTCTGCATTTCCATAAGGCTGACATGTACTTAATCCCAAGGTACCATCCAAGTGAGCTTCAAAACGTTACAATTCTTAAAATTCTATTCTTTGGTTTTAAAGATTAAGCCTTACCTGTGCAACAAGAATTGCAATGTATATAAAAAAGATTAGAACCTGAACAATGTAGAATCGTGCCCATCAGAACCTGCCCGACTGTACAAGTAGGGAAGCAAAATGGTTTAGATGAAAAGACATAACTGAGAAACTGTGTGTGACATTACACAATGAATATTAGTTTGTAGCTCTTACCTGTTGATAGAGCCCAGCATGCCAGGGCTAATGTGATCACACTGAGGAGTTTTTACCAAAGGGAAGACAGCTGATGAAGGTGTGATTGGATTGTTATCCATAAGCTGGAAGACATCATCATCTTGGCTTTCCCAGAATGTTGGGAGCTACAAGAAAAATCACATCACCATCACCAATCAATGAGCAGTTTCAGAAACCTGTCAATCTATGAGAGTGAATTAAAGATGCACCCTTAGTATCTTGCTTTCCCCTCTGCGGTTTCTTGCTAAGGAGCACAGACTGGAAATAGCACGCAACCAAATGCTGCTTTATTTGGGTAGCAAAAGCCACAGCCCCTTTGTGTTTAGCAGATACCAAGAATCTTGGACCGGGTTCTGCAAGTGAAGAGATTTAAGTTGCCTTAAAATTGTATTTACCAACTTTCCAAGATATTTCAATCCATATTAAGTTTTCCTGGGCAGGATATGGATTTGGTTGCAGATAACCCTCAGGTCAGTCTCCTTTTATGCAAATTCTGTTTTACATGTACATTGCTAGTTGCACAGAAACTTATAAACATGAAACCATCATTTTGATCTCACTTGCAGAATACAAATTCTGAAATAAAATAAAAATTGGCCACGGGTGCAATTGAGACTGGAGTCTATATTGACTTAACAAGAGGCAGAGCCACCGGAGCTGAACCCTCGGGCGAAAGAACGTCCACAATGGGGTTGGGCTCTTCGACCACCTCCTCTGCTGGGTGATTGAGACCTTGAGTCACATGCCTGAGCAGGTCCTGGTGAGCACTGGAGTCCATTGAGGGAGGGGACAACAAGGAGGCTACGAGGGGAACCGGGGCACCCTGGCCTGCCTGCTCTCCTTCCACATCCCCTGCCAGTGGGGAGAGGGGCCGTGGGTTGTGCCACCACCAGAGCATGTTCCTCCTGTCCTCTGGTGTCCTGCATGGGAAGTGAGGATGGGGCCACCGATGAGCCAGAGGGTGGCACCCAGGTCGAGGGTGTCACTGAGGAAGCTCAAAAGGATCCCCTCTGGGCATATGCTTGCCACACTTCACATACTGCTTGAAACCCTGGGGCAGCTGCATGCCCCAGAAGCACGAGCAATAGGAGAGGGGAAGCCCCCCTCCCTGCCCCCGGCTAACTACTCTAAGGTAACTCGAACAAATCACTAAATCTACACTACCAAGATAACTGAAGACTGCTGTGCTAAGGACTAGCTACTTGCGAAGCAAGACACTCCAAGGACCATCACTGGCAGAAAGGAGGAACTGAAGCAGGAATCAAGTTGGCAGGGGTGGTGTTTGTATGTGCGTGCGCACGCGCGCGCACACACACACACACACACACACAAATGCCGCGAGGCATCGCTACAGGGGGGTGTCACAGCCGACCCAACAGATACAGTTAGGGAAAAGTCTTCTGACGATGATGCATCGGAATGCACATGAGCAAACACTCAAAGAGTGATATTCATTGGGCTGCAAGCTTTCTGGCCTACACTGTGATATGGAATTGCTGCGGACAACAGCTGCAACTGAAACGGAGCTAAACCTCACTTGGATGCAGGTGTGGGCAAGAAAAATTCCATTAGTCACTGGTTCTATTTTACACAGTGGTCTTTGAACCACTGACATCTGTTTACTCAAAGATATAAGCAGCACTCTGAGGAAGAAGATAGGAATGTCTAGTGTGGGAACTAGAGCTTTTAACTTTTTGACATCAAAGCCAGGAAGGACCACATTCCGCAGTCCCAGTTTTCCACATTACCAGAAACAGCTTGTGAGACACACAGAGGGAGCATGCATGCACATCTCTTTACACGCCATGAAGAAATAAAAATTTAACAGTTTCTTTCGTTTGTTAGTTTCTTTTAGTCCATTTACACTGGTGGTCCAAATTGCCAGCACTCACCAATACATAGTCAAAGATAGAAACTCCTTCTCCCAACACAAAGTCACTAATCTATGCTACAAGAAACCGACCAGGGAAAGTTTTATAATGTAACATTTCATTTAATACGTTTTTAAATGACAGATGTACCTTTACTCGGCAATTCTGTAGGGGTGTTGCAGTGAATATATCATCATGGTCATCCTTTGGCAAATGCTCCAGAAAGTCCCTCATCTGCTGTTTCCTTTTCAAGGTACCCACTCTAGCAGTTATTACCGGCTGTTTCTTATCTGCATCTGCCAACATATTACATTTGTTCAGAGGTATTAACTACGCTATTTGGTCTTAGATTATTAGCAGGGCTGTCAAGCAATTTAAAAAAAATAATCACACTTAATTACATTGTTAAACAATAGAATAACATCCAAATATTTAAATAAATGGTATCTAGAATTTTAACTATACTGATTTCAATTACAACACAGAATACCGCATACAATACTCACTATAATTTTTATTACAAGTATTTGCACTGAAAAAAACACACACCATATTTTTCAATTCACTTAATACAACTACTGTAGTGCAATTAAATCATGAAAGTTGAGCTTACATATGTAGCATTATGTTAGGAAAAACCTGCATTAAAACTGTGTAAAATTTTAAAGTTTTTTGGTGGTTCAGGCTCTGTAGTTTCTATATCAGAGTGGAAAGCATGCTCCACACCTTATCCCTCTCAAATTTGGAAGATTTCAGATTCTGAACCCTTGGGTCAAGAGTTTTATTTATCTTTAGAAATTTCACATTGGTACCTTTTTTGGGTTTTGTGAAATCTGCAGTGAAAGTGTTCTTAAAATTAGCAACATGTGCTAGGTAATTATCCGAGACTGCTTTAACATGAATTATAGGTTAGAAAAAGTGGGTAAAACAGAGCAGAAGACATTCAGTTCTCCCACTGGGGAGTTCAGTCACAAATTTAACTAAACACATTATTTATTAAATGAACGTCACCAGCATGGACACATGCCCTCTGGAGTGGTGGCAAAGGCATGAAGGGGCATACAAATGTTTAGCATATTTGTCTCAAATACCTGGCAATGCCAGCTACAAACGTGCCAGGCAAAAGCCTGTTCTCACTTTCTTGTGACACTATAAATTAGTAGTATTATTGCCTATAAATGTAACCAAATTTCTTTCGCTTAGTGACTGGCTAAACAAGTAGGATTGAGTGGACTTATACGCTCGAAGCTTTACATTGTTTTGTTTTTGAGTGCACTTATGTAACCCAAAAAAACTCCCAACCTATTTTCATCATTTTTACAGAGCAAATATTTGTAATAAAATACACACTTATTTCAATTACAATACAGAATCTAATCCAATACTTATGAACATGTAGAAAAACATCCAGAATATTTAAGGAATTTCAATTGGTATGCTGTTTAACAGTGCAATTAATCACTTTTTTTTCATTTAATCACAAGAATGATTATTTGACAGCTCTAATTACTAGTTATAGACAATATGCAAAATCCACAGTCTTACAATCTCTGGAGTTTTCCTGCTGTCTGCTGGTGATATCTGCTACTTTCTATAAATTGCATATACTTTGGAGGGGGAGGAGGGGGGGAAGGAAGCACAGTGTGTTTAGCCCTTATCTCAAATGGATGTTGACTGTGCAGACTTATGGCACCATTAACAACAATTGTTTAGCTATTTTACAGGTCACTTAACAGAAACAGTCACTTGTGTTTCCATACCATGCTAGATGTTGCTGGACCAGAGAGTGCTGAGCTAGAAAGGTTCAACCTGTATTTGTTCTACTTTTTATAAGCCCGAGGGCTCTGGGCAGAAGAGTTTGACACCTGAGACAGTGTATAAAACCACTGATATGGACAGCAAGGGGGCTAAGACTTGGGGGCAGGGTGGGCCACTGGGATACCAGTACTAAGCCAGCAATGCCAGGTCATATGCCAGCAGGTGAAATACATGGGCACAGGAGTCCAACGTTCTTCTAGAAGGGAGAATGTTGGGTCTAGCTTGGAGAAACTGTCCGAGTTCAACAAAGGCTCTGGGAGTGCTAGAGTTGTTGGTACAGGCATTCCACAACACAGCCTGGAAATGCTGCTTCTGGAGCAGGGATGGTTTGTTCCCCAGACTGGGTGTTTGATTGTAATAAGCAGCAGAGAAAGCAAGTACAGTAGTTTGAGATGCACTGACAGAAGGGGCTCACAATTTCCTGGCGTATGGGGATCGTCTCTCTGAGCACCACCGGCAGGCAGTGTTGTCCATGGTGTTGAGTGGGCTGACAGGTGTGCAGATGCTAACAGCATGCATGGTGCATATCGTGGAAAGTGGTCCAGGCAAGCAGTCATTAGGACAGTCTATGGTACTGCTAGGTCCTCCTCCTCCTACTTAACCTCAGAGCAAGGACATTTACATTGCTGCAAATGTCATATGCCACTTCAATTCTCACTGGGCTAAAAATATTAATGGACTTGTAGGCTGATGTTACTCGATTTTATTCAGCAGGGGCAGAACTGGATTAAATCCAATGTGTGTGCTGAAAATGCATCATTCTTTCAACATCCATATTACACATGGACTAATACTCCCTCTCTGTATGTCCATAGGCTTACTGCAGACTAAATTAAAATAAAAAACAACTGTCTGAAAGTAAGAAAAATGAGGAAGGAACTTAGGCAATTTGGGTAGAAAGGCCAGTACAGGCAGTCCCCGACTTACGCGGATCCGACTTATGTTGGATCCGCACTTACAAACGGGGCTTTTCTCGCCCTGGAGCTCACGGGCAGCGGGTCGCCACCCGTGTCCTCCGGGGCGAGAAAAGCTTCTCCCAGTCTCCCTGGTCTGCTGGGAGGAGGGGGCGGGGTCCAGCAAACCCGCTGGATCCCCCCAGCAGACCAGGGACACCAGAGCAAAGCCGACGCCTGGGCGGCTTTGCTTGTTTGCCCGGGAGCAAAGCCGCCCAGGCAGTGGGACCCCCGCCGCCCGGGCGGCTTTGCTCGTTTGCCCGGGAGCAAAGCCGCCC